CCAAGGGTTAGGAGGGTCTAGAAGTGTACGGAATGTTGAAGGAAGGTGTAGGGTTCAAGGACTACCTACATGGACCAATGGGTGCAGGTCCAAAGCTTGAGGTCAAATTCAGGACCGGGGACATAGGCCTTCGAGAACGTCGACGAAGACATAGGACGGTAGACGACGAAGACGACGAGTTCAAATGTGATTGCGGCTTCGAATGCGAAGACCGTGTTCATGTAGTCGCGGAATGTCCGTTGTACAAGAAGGAGAGGGAAGTGTACGTGACTGAGCTGGGGAAAATAAATAGGACGTACAGAGAGATGTTTGAGGCATGGAATAAAGAGGAAAGGACGGTAGCTGTACTGGGGCATACGAGGTGGGTTGAAAAGGCGGGAAGGGATATCGTTACGATCGACAGGCTTGGGAAGACATTTTTGAGCCACCTTTGGCAAAGTAGAAAGGAACGATTGGCCATCGGTGATCGGTCCTGTGGGAACAATGCTCCGNTCTCTTGTTGAACGCTCGCCTTTCTTTTTTTTTATCCGCTAGGCAAGGTACGGTTGGCCTTGAGCTAGTCCAGCAGGTGAAGGAACAGACGGGAGGCGCTAGTCTCGACGCGGTGGTGGTGCCCGTGGGCGGAGGAGGACTTATCACCGGGGTGGCGACAGCCGTCAAAGCCCTCTGCCCCGGCATTCGCGTTATCGGCGCGGAGCCGTCCAAGGCCGCAGACGCGTTTAGGTCTAAACAGGTACTATGTTTGCGCACTGTAGCCTGCCAATCGGTTTCACTGACTCTTATTCTAGTGATGACGTCATCCCATGGCCGAGATTGTGTCTGGCCGATTGACCGTGAACAACACCCGCCGCTACCCAAGGGTCTTCCCCGTCGTCTCGAAAAATATACGCCGCAAGGTTTTTCACCAATCAGATGGCGTGTGGAGTGCACGCCGACCGCCCTTTCACGGGGGCTTTTCGTTTGTATAGTCGATCCTGTGGGCCATGATAGTTTATCAGCAATTTCGCGCCGCGCTTGTGTATGCGAAGGTTTCAAAATTCTCGCCGTGAACTACTGCTGCAGATGCCACACCATCACTTTGAGACAGCGCCCCGAGTATGTAGAGCGACGGCATCTTGACGTTTCCTTTTATCTTTTGGAACAGAGCGGCAGCTTGCAGGGACACGACTGCGAGGGAATGCCAGACACGATTGCCGATGGTCTCCGTACGACCCTCGGGAGCACGACGTGGCCAGTCGTCAGGTGCAGGAGTCCACTCGTACTTGTAGCCGTGCCGCACCACAATGTCCAATAACGCATTCCATGCGGATTTCCTCGGACACACATGAACCACAGGCATCTAGTTCCAAACGCCAGCTCAGAAAAATCAATGTGGGAAGCTTTTTTCAATCGAGAGTTTTCTTCGTCCTTGATCCGGAAGGGTTGAGCAACGGCATTTATCGACAGGTCGACTTCAAATTGATAAACTCGAGTCGCAGGGTGTGGGGCCTCGATAGACTAGACGGGTTCGGAAAACCACTGTACGCTCATATATTTCCTATGTTAATACGTACTTCGAGGTCGTGCTGGGTGTCAACGGGTGTACCGTTAAAGGGTGTGCCCTAAAAGGGTGTACCCTTAAAGGGCGTACCCTCAATGGGTGTCCCCTTCACGGGTGTATCCTCAATGAGTGTCCCCTCAATGGGTGTACCCTCAATGGGAGTACCCTCGGTACCCTTCACCGGCGCACCCCTGGTGTCTTGCAACAGTGGGGTCGTACTCGATAAAATTGGCTCTCGTCCTCACGACTTTCTTACGGCATCTCCCGCATTGCCGCAGAGATTCAGTCGACGAGATAGTCACCGTGTCAGAGGAGGAGATCCGGCTGTGGATGCGAGTGGTCTACGAGCGAATGAAGCTGGTCATCGAGCCGAGCGCCGCTGTCGGGGTGGCAGCGGTAATGTCGCCGCGAGTGCGAGGCATGCCTCAAGACGTGAAAAGGGTTGGGGTGGTGTTGTGCGGCGGCAACGTAGACTGGACACTGTTGCAAGACCTTTTGGCGGGAGGCGGTAATCCCCTACCGGTTTAGGTTTGCTTCCGATCTTTCCCGACGTTTCGACCAAGCATGAATTCGTCCGTTGTGGCAGGCTCATGACATCTATGTACGAGGAACACATTTTGTACGCCGGCGGACTGCTCTCGCTTAACGAAAGGTACGGCCACGCACCGCTACCGAAAGGACCCGACCAGTTCGATCGGCAAGCTCGGCTGGGGGAGGGGCGCACCGGATGTGGGCATGCCTTTAGACCCCTGTCACCAACAAACGCCCACTCCCAGGGACAACACAGCAACAAATAATCATTGACCTCTATCACACATACAGAGAGCACTTCACCACCAATATGGGAAAATCATGTTTTCCAGACCCTCCCATCACATCACGTGCCCGCACCAAGGCGTCGCAGGCGTCGTCTACGCAACTCATCCGGTGCTATTTGGCCGCCCCCTGCTCCGTAGCCACCAGCGTCCTCTTCCGGAGGTGGTGCGGTCGGTGACGGCCCCAAGAATTCAGTGGCTGCAACCGCATCATTCTCAATTGGTCGAGACCTTGACCCAGGGTTGTCAGTGACGCTTCCGGCGTTGTCCCGCCTCAAATTGTGATTAGCACCGCCGCCCGCCGTGCTTTCTAGCAGAGAACGACGTAGCGCCTCTTGCAAAGCCGCCTCTTCCGCCTCGGCGTCGCTGTCTATGTCGTACGCAGCGGGGGGGTTGGGCGACTGCTGCCGGGTTTCTGTTCTCGCCCCCTCGGGACTAGCCCTGCCGCTAGTGCCGCTGTTGTACGTGTACGAAGGCCCCCGGCTGTTGTTGTAGATCGAGATTCCCGTGAAGAGGTTGACCACGCGAAGGACGATCGGCACCTCGACGTACAACACGCCGGCTAAGATCCCACACAGATGGCCCAGGAAGGACGCGTTCGGGACCATGACAGAAATCAGCACAAGCTCCAGCCAGGCGGCGTAACGGGTGTGCACGCTATATCCCATCACCTGTGCACACATGTTGCGGAGAGGGAGGCATGCCAAAACGCGACGTTGGGACTACGTACTTTCAAGCACATCACACGCGATCGAGAACCCGCTGCAATCCCGTACGAGGCCCGTATGGGGCACTGAACCTGAGCACCACTAAGCCAGTGCGATCCGCCACGGTCCAACCTACCGTATATGACACAAGATAACACACCCCCTGGTCCGATTTCAGGGCTCGATTGATCAACAACAGAAAGAGTCGCAGCACCGAAAACGGCGGTGTTGAAACCGTCTGGTCGAGAGATCTCCGGAAACGTATCGTTTCATTAATGCACCCTCTTCGTCGCGGAGTAATCGAGCTTTGACAATCGGTCCAGGGAGTGTGATATCTTGTGTCGTGTACGGTATTGTCTCTTGTAGCTGGCGCCCACGGGGTGGAAGTTCCTACTACTGGTAGACCGTTCGTGCCCACGTTTTCGTTCTGTGAAGTACGTTAAGACCATTCAACACCTTACGTAAGAATCGATGTCAGTTGGCAGAACGCCAGATGGGCACACCCGCCAACCAGAAAAAGCAAAGCAACTTTCGTTCCAAGGCTGCCCGCTGAGGGACACTGACCTATGGGGGGTTTGAAGCCGACGCGCTTGAAACAACGCCTTCTTGGGAGGGGGACTTGACCGCCTGTTCCAAGCAATCAAAAATAATTAACAAATGAGCATTGTTGTGCCCAGCCACTCACCGTTGTGACTCCTGGGGACCGTCGAGACAAGACGTACTTCAGTGCGAACAGCACCCCGCTGAAGCCAACCGTACAGGCGTGCATAGGTGACGGCACGTCGAACACGACTAGCAGGACCCAGGCGGAGAGCATCATGAGCGTCTGAGAGGCAAGGAGGCTGAAGGACAAGAGCCCGGCGAAAGCCTGCGTCCCCATGGTGAGCTCCAGCGACACCCCTTTGAGCAGAAAGGAAGCCATGTTGTAGTACAGATGCATGTCGTCTCCGTGCACGAACGGGGACACCAGCAAGCGTCGGATCTCCAGCTCACCCGTTCTGTCAAGAGAGAGCGGAGCAGGAGTAGTGTGAGCAAAGACTCCACCAAAACCAAGGGTGTTTGCAGAGGTGTTAGTCTCCATACACAGGCAAGTTAAGGTATGGACCATAGGCAAGCCTTGGTTCTCAACTAGTCCAGAATACGAGTATGGCCGCAATGTCGTGCTACTGCTGTGGTTGGCCAGATACGGCGAACCACCAACATCACGGCGAACAGATACGACGTGCGTGCAGCAGAATAGCACGGCAGCATCATCTTTCACTGCCAAGATCCGATGTGAAAGCTCTCCGACAGTGCAAAGGGTACAGGACCTACGTGGACGTAGGAACACGGTAGACGTATCTAATGGTACATAACCGACGACACGCTTTGATGCATCAAATGCTACCCCACGGGGTGATGTAGTTCATAGCCCATTCTCACTCACCGTTCGTACGTATCCAGAATAGACGCAGGCAGCAGACAAACGTTCCGAATGTGATCGAAACCTCCCGTAAGCCAGCTCCACTCGAACACCCCCTTGCTATAGAACAGGTCCTCGAATATGTCGGGCTTCAAGTGCAGGGCAGACATGCCCGCCATAAGGGCCAGGGTCAAGGGCGGCTTGTGCCGGAGCTGAGAGATCTGGTGAACAAGCCGTAGGGCGAGTATCAGGGCCCACGGCTGACGGCTTCGCCCTCGCCCATCACCACCACCACCACCGTAATCACGCATTCCTCCACGAGGAAGCCGGTCTAGGCCTGGGCCCAAGCCGAACATTGCGCCAGGCAGGGGCAGACAACTTTTGTTACAGAAATTTGCGCACTGGCTCTCTCTTTTCCAAGGTGCTCTCTTGCGCGCCGTGTGTGCTCTCCCGAGGCTACTACAGTTCTAAGAGCGTTGCGCCCTGCGCAGAAACGGTACACTAGAATTATCACCAGGGGAGGGATCCCTTGCTGCCCAACACAGCAACACTGGCCGCGTCGTGTCGCCTATACAGGTGGATGAAGCCTATCGAAACTTTCCGCGTTACGTAGAAGGCTGTACGGAGGGCGCTTTGAACGAATACGCCACACACTCCTTACACGCGCGACCTCAATGCACTCCCCGGTAGAGAGGCCGGTAGCTCCACCACTGCCGTGCTTCGTGCGCTGCCCTCGAAAGTAAAGGGGGCAAGGGTACACGTGGAGCGTACGCACTGGTGAATGCAACCAACTTGCAACCAACTGCCAGAGAGCACGCAGTCCGGTCTTCAAACGCACGCACCCCTAAGATTTTGCGGAGCTCCTTTGGTAGCCCTGGTTCTGTTCCCTGTTCCTGCCTGCTCCCCATCCACGCTCTGCGCTGCTACTTCCCCAGCACACCAGCCCCATACAGACAACCAACCATGTTCGCTTTGAGGTCCTCGGTTTCGAGGAGAAGTGCCATGCGCGCGTTCTCGACGGCGGCGAAGAACCCTTCGGTGAGAGCGAGCAAGCGTCCACACGTGATCTTCGTGATCAACGGTGCAGATTTGTTCCACCGCATCGAGGCCGACCACGGAGCTACAACAGCCGTAGTATTGTAGCAGCAACAGCCCAGACTCAGATGCCCAAATCTATACCGTGGGACGAACTACGTTGTACGCATGGGTCCGGTGTGGGCGACTGCTGATGCAGTAATGCCACTGCATGCAACATATGTTCACTCGGGGTACCCAGCCTCTTGTTGCATCGTTCAACAGCATTTGCCCACGCCTAAAATGCTTTCTCCATCTCGACGCAACAGGAGGGGGGAGATTGGTACTACCACCCACCTGTGCTCACCAGGCAGTATATTGCGCACCCATGCCAATTTGAAATTCAGTTGCAGAAAAAAAGCCCCGACTATTGCTGCTGTAAGCACTCGACTACAGCATTCTGGTGCGGCACAAGATGATAATACACCCCCTCGACCGATTGTCCAAGCTCGATTTATCAACAGCAGAAAGAGTCGCAGTGCCGAAAACCGCGGCGTTGAAGCAGTCTGGTCGAGAGCTCTCCGAAAACATATCGTTTCGTCCATGCATCCTCTTCGTCGTGGAGTAATCGAGCTTTGAAAATCGGTCAATGAGGTGTGTTGTCTCGTTACGTACACAGTACACCAGTACGGGCCCAGAAACAAGAAGGAACGTCAAAAATCGGGTCCGAGGCCCGGCTTGTTTCATGGCCACTACCGCTGTCGAGCACAGGCTCTTACATTGAGTCTAGTATATGACCCACCGCTGAGCTGTTTCTCTTAACCCTATTTTCATATTTCCGTGAATGTGTCAGCCTCTCTTTGTCAACAAAGCATTTCTTGCCTGCGGGCGCGTACTGCTGTATGGTACCACCGATAGGTGTTTTTCGATATCAACATCGGGGGAGCCGCGGCCGGGAGAGTGGTCATGGAGCTGCGGGCGGACGTCGTGCCTAAGACGGCGGAGAACTTCAGGCAGCTTTGCACGGGGGAGAAGGGTTTCGGTTACAAGGGCTCCTCCTTCCACAGGATCATCCCGCAGTTCATGTGCCAGGTAGCGGTTGTTGTGCGTTTGTTGAGAGTGTCACAACACAGAATGTTCTACTGTAGCCTCGACGCTCTCTTTTGGCACCTCAAGTATATGTACCAGTGCCAACGTCGTGAAGGCACTCGTCTATTCCTCGCCCGCCACTTCGGTAGCGTTGCTCCTCAAGCTTGACGTGTCTGATGAACTTTGCTGCTGCTGCAGGCGTACAACATGGTCTGGACCAGGCGTTTGCTCCCGTTTGTCAATGAGAGAACTAAACTCCCCCCGGGCGCTGTGCGGTTCTGAAGACGCGAGACGTGCTTGCTCTGATCCGGAACTTTTTAAGCGTCATTTCCGAATGGCTCTCGGCCACATAACACGTCCTCCTGCCCGACTCCCGCTCGTTGCGCTGAACAGGGAGGGGATTTCACCAACGGGAATGGCACGGGTGAGTGGTGCATGACTTGATGGCTTGTCCGCAATAGAGGCGATTGCCTAGCGGGCAAGCTAGCAGCGTAGACTACGCGAACTCGCTCAGGTCCTGTACTGTTCCTTGTGCGGGTGGCATGCGGAGGTAGTATGTGTGCCTGTTCCCGCAGCCGCTGAGCGATGTGAACATCGTAGATGTCGTCGATACTGTAGCCTGGCGTGGTAAGCGCAGGCATGAACATGCGTTTCTTTCTGCAGGCCTGTGACACTTTCGTCGCCGACGAACGTGCCCGCCCAATGGCCCGCCTGTACTACCGCGGGTTTTCGCGAGCTAAGAGTGTTTGATTTCGTCGTGCGTTTCTCTCTCTTTCTCCTTTTACCCGCGCGGTCACCCGCCCGTGCTTTTGGCAGGGGGGAAGTCCATCTACGGAAGCAAGTTCGATGATGAGAACTTCGAGCTCAAGCACACGGGACCAGGCGTCCTCTCCATGGCCAACGCCGGTCCGGGAACGAACGGGAGCCAGGTGCGTGGCGGGTTTGGATGATCTTGAGTGCGTCAACCTTTGGTGCGAAATGTGAGGGCGTTGTGGGCGCCGCTGTCAAGGAAGTAATTTTGTTGTGTGCTGTCCGCTGCGCGTGAGCAGCTCGCGTGCGATGGCCTCTGTCTTGTGTAATCTGTCGATTGGCGCGTTGATCTTCTTAGGTGAAAGGCTTGGTTCGGCGTGATGTCTCACTTCAGCAATTTTTTTCACTTGTTCGTTTCAATGATTTAGTTGCCGATGCTGGGAATTCAGGCAATCGCTGCGAATCGCTGTGCGCTTTTAGTTGTCGCGCCGGTGTTCTCATTCACTTTTGTCTTTATCGCTGACGGAGTAAAAGTTCCTCATATTGTTTTTTTCCCAACAGTTTTTCATTTGCACCGTGAAGACGGACTTCTTGGATGGGAAGCACGTTGTGTTCGGCGGCGTTACGGAGGGAATGGACGTCATCCAGAAAATGGAGGCTGTAGGTAGCTCCCCGCTTGGTACGACGTCGAAGGATGTCAAGATCGAAGACTGCGGGGAGCTCGAGTAAATTGACGGGCGGGCAGCTCGAAAAATCGTATGGAGTGGAGAAGGACCCATGTGTCTGATTATTTTTCACTCTCGGGCCATCTGAGACACTTGTCCGCTTGAAACGGAGGACCACTAGACAGGAGGTGGCGCATGGGCTACGCCCCCTCCGTCAGTGGAGGGATTCAATGGTCATGGGCCTTGGTTTATCTGGCGTATGGTTAGCCGCGGCACCATGGGTTTTTGACGAGTTGACTAAATAGTACTGCGTTGGCTGAGGCGACAGACATTTGAAGCACATGCGCGTGCTGAGGGAGGCATGGAGAATAAAGGCCAATTAAATGACGAGACGACGCCTGCGATATGTTCAAGTAGCGTATATTTTCTTCGGCCTCCGATACGCTAGCAAGGTGGTGGACACCGTGCATGACGCCCCATGTCACTCCCTGGAACACCCCCTGTATTTTGTCCTCCAAAACCACTCGGTCTCTCTGCGTCACATGATCCTTGGTTTTACACCAACCGTCAATCAAGGAAATTCTTTCCCGACGGTTTATGATTGCGCCGCAGGGGGTACTGACCAACCACGACAATACGTGCCACTTTTCCCTCGCTCCATATATGTTGGTTTTTGTACTGGAGGGGGGGGTTGGATCGACCAACATCCAAGTGGTTTCCTACGTCTTACACTTGTGTTCGCCATCGCTCCCTCCCCGAGGAAGAGGTGCCGTTTTCACAGGGCATAACCCGATGTGCCGCATATGACTTCCAACGCCATTGATTCCTCGTGAGACGGACACTGGTGCTTTCCTTCTCTGCTACGTGGGGAGAGATCATCGAGGCGAAGCGAGGCAGTCGTCTTATCGAACACCTTGCCTGAATTGGTTGTTCGCCATTTGTTGAGACCACGTTCAAGGCAGCAGTGTGCCGAACAACCTCGCGCGCGGTTCTGATTAATTCGAAACGTCATCTCTTTGATCGATGCTGCTGCATCACCGTTTTTGGCCCGTCTTCTAACCATACGTCGCAATGACGCCGCGTCGTGCCTTATTAGTAGTCCGCGTCCTTTTCCCGGTCATGCCCCCACCCGAACAGCGATGCCACGGAGAGCGCCCCCTCCGCGGACGATGCAGCGTTGTGTGCCCCGCCCAAAGGGCTCTCGCGAGCGTCCACCACCCTCCCGTTGTCTCCGACGCTGCCTACGTCCCCCCCCGCGCCAGCGGGCTTCATTTTCTCAGCCCCTGAGTGGTGATTCTTCTCCCGGTCTGGTGGTACCGCTTGCACTGGTCGTCCCTCGTCTTGTTTCGCCTCTTGTGTTCGAGGGGTTGCACCAGGCGAGATTCCCGTGTCGAGGTAATGCCGAATTTCTTCCGACAGGGCGTTCATGCTACACTCCCGCCGTTCCTTCTGTGGGATTCCCTGACGGGAGTAAAACGTATTACGGGGAAATTCGGGGTATATGGCCTCTTGTAGTGCACCCGAGAGGGGCGTTTCCAAGCCCTCCACGATCCACAGCGGAATTTCTCGAAGTCTGCTGGATTGTGGCAAGGATAGTCTTGGGTACCGACTGACCAGGCGAGGTGGTAATCTGTTTTCATTGGCGAAGAGTGCTGCCTTTCCAAGAATCGTTACTTTTCACTAGCCTGTGACGACGGAAGGCGTTCGCGTCAGCCGGAGTACCGAACAGAGATTGGCACATTGCTTCATGTGAAGACAACAACAACAGGGGACCACAGCAAGAGTTCAAGACGCGGTTAAAAACACACCTCGACGTCACCGTAGGCACGGACTACTACGAAGTGCGCCGCATGCACATGGCCGCATAGACACGCGTAGTACAGAGCGTTCCTCCCGAAGTCATCGTTCCTCCTCAGATCGACACTGTCAGCGATATCCTGGACGCGGCGGGTTCGCAATGAGACAGCAAGGGGTTGTAAAACGTGAAAGAAAAACCCTTTAAGGGGAATGTGCAGGATCAAAGTAGTGTTCAACATATTTTATGCCGTCAATAACAGTGGCCGTTCATGGTGCGACCCCATGACTGGATGGACTTTGATGCCCTACGGCGGTACTCACGATTATGTATATTGAGAGGTTTTCCGGGTCTAACCATGTTTTCTGATGGTGTGTCGTTCATGTGTCAGGTACCAGCTCGAACGTACATGATGGAAAGCTTGGCCGATTATCTGTTCGAGGGTCTACGAACATTGGTGTTGGATAAACACCGGTCGCCCGGTGGTCTAGTGGGTAGCCTCGCAGCCTGCTATGGGCCAGGTCATGGGTTCGAGTCCCAACAGAGTGAGTTTTTTCTCGCTTATCAAATCCTGGTCTCCGTTGGAAGCGACGTGCTGCAAAGCTCGTTGTTAGTAAACTTGATCGGCTTCATGAGTCGCGAGGGAAGGGATTGCTGTACCCTTCTCGCGATAAAAATATCTCAGGCAGGAACCGCAGGAGGGGGTCCAAGCCCCCCCTCCTATGTTACCCCGGTTGGGTCGTCTAGCTGGTAGAAGTGGAGGGTAGGGGCCAGAGGGGCAGACGACAGAGTCCAATGATGGAAGAAAAACAAACAAAACAAACAACATGTGCTGGATATTTCGTGTCACGCAGACTGCCGTTTGGTAGGGGGCACCGCGATGGTTCACGGGCCCCTCCTTGCTGTGGGAGCCGCTCTTTGAGCACTCCCTCTTTCGTCCGTGTGAAGGACGGTAGTCTACCTCTCGTGAAGTTAATACATCACCAAAACAGTCTCACCCGATAAATAAGTGGCGTAGACCGCAAACAATATCTCCTCCCATGATATGACGAGAGTATCTCCTCTTTCCTTCCTCGACCTCGCACTCACTTTGAGAGCAGATATGTCCCCTCTCTTGCCCGCCGCGCATGCCGTGCTCACCAAACTCTTGGTGCCTCGCGGACCCAAGCTAGTCGCTCGTGCCTCAGCAACACAGCAACCGTGCCACGTTGCTTTCGATTGAACCTCCCCTGCACCTTCCTCCCGGACGTGCGGTCCCCTCTCACCCAAAGGGATGCGACTTTCTCCACCAGGTGTTGAGGGCACTTCGCCGCAGTTCATCCCAGTTTGGGCTTCAAGGATCTCTCGAATGCTGTCCATCGCGTGCTTGATTTGCCGAGGAGATAGCTTCGCGCCCTGAACCGTAACTTCCCGCAGGCCGGACGAGATATCGTGTAGACCTTGCCTGAGGCGTACACAACTGCTATCGTTTGCATCCCCCTCGCTGTTCTTGTGCCTGACGGAACTATCGCCGCCGTGGCTGCTGAGCCCGTCACGTCTTTCTAGTCTCGATTCTGGCGTCACCTCCGGGTTTTCGTCGACTTTCGTTTGTCCCGCCCCCAATGGAGACACGTTCAAGTCCTCTGACGTGATCGATTTCTTGGCTTCGCTACCGAACCGATGTCTCGCGGCCGACGGGATATTATTCATGCTAGGGGTTGAGGTACGCAACTTCTCCGTACACTGAACGTCGTTGCCACGGTACCCAAAGCCAGGGGCAGGGCCCTGCTCCACAAAGTCGATGATGTTTGGCCAGTACACCAGCGGGGCTCTGGGTGCGGATACTGCTGCCGTGTCGTCCTGTCTTTGGTTGCGCGCGCGCCCGGTGCTGTGATTATTGAGGGTGCCAGGCTGGGTCGCCAAGAGTATAACTGCCGCCTCATCGACGGTTATCCCAGCTTTCTTCATCACGGCTGAGATAGAGGTGACAGTCGCCCAACCTGTCCCATCCTGCTCCAAGATGGAGCGTTGTTGTGCGGGGGTATTGATGCATAGATTTAGACGTTTCGTTGACGTCCAATATTGAGAGGCGTCTTAGACTCGGGGAGGTTGCGAGGGTTGGTACAAATGGCGCCCGCACATAAGAACCTCTAGTTTCGGCCGAGGCTGGGGTTCTTATTTTACTCATCATCCTCTTGTGGGCTGCAAATGGCCGCAATATAGGTTTTAGTGTGGGATTCTTAACGGAGCTCACGAATGGTGCTCAAGCTCTTAGCTTCTGATTTTTGCGAGTTTCTTAACTGCCAAGTTTTTAAGTGCGGGCGCTATCTGTACAGGGTTTGAGGATAAACACTACTGCATGCATTACAGAGCGGACTGTGCAGTATTTGCCCCTTACTCGGATACTTGGGAACATGTAGATATGCCAACGATGCTCAGGCAGGAGAGGGAAGGCCGTAGGGCCAGTAAAACCCTTGAGCAAAACTGAACAATGTCAAGCTGTTACAGGGCGCTGAAAGATAAAGTTACACCATTAGACTAGTCAGCGCTGACTAGTCTAATGGTGTAACTTTATCTTTCAGGCGCTAGAACTAAAGTAGTACTGCTACGTACTCTGCAGGCCATCAAAGCTATGTCAGCGCTCCGTATGACTCACGATGGAACACTGCTGGAAGCAATCTTTCAGGTCCTCCAAAGAAGAGCTGAAATCGCCGTGACACCTGTTGTAAACTTGCACCAACAATCTGTCGCGCACGCGCGTGCGTTCGGCGTGTCGATTGTCTGGCGGAGGCTTCGCCGGACGACACTGCTGCTGTCTCTCACTGCTGCCGGCGTGTGAGGGCGAATGGTGCTCTCGAGCTTCCCAGTCTGACACGAGACGTGACGGAGGCGTGCCTGAACGTGCCATTGTATGGCCTGGTACTTGCACAGACAGGGTGGTTTTCACTGCCTTGGTCATCGGTGTACAATGGAAGCCTCTGATGGTGTCGAAAGGAGAGTCCACATAGGACGGCGAGGCGAAGGAGAGGCAGATTCACCGCACACACGAGGACGAGAATCTCGCAAGGGATTTTTTTCTGTGGTTTTTTGCTTCCCTCCCCTCTTGCTCGCTACGGAGGAACAACCATCGAATATGTTGATTGGCAGGGACGCTCGTTGTCTAGTCGATACACTTTGTGTTCGTCGTCTAGTCTACGGTAGTCTATCAGGTCTATACTGCTGCTGTAGAGACTGCAACCAAGGCACCAGACAGCCGTTTTGTCACATATGTAGAGCAACGAAACACCACCCATGATTTGATAATCCACCGGGCCGTACCTTCGAATCCTCTACACCTCTTGCAAGCAGCTTGTTCTCGGATAGGCTATCGTTGCAGCTGTGTCGGTTGTACAGCCTCAACAAACTCGTCTCCTTAGCCCTGTTGTGCTGTAGAACAGACGCAGTGCCACCCATGTTCGTAGATAGTCTATGCGAGGCGAGAACTGGTGCTCCTTCCTCCTACCGTACACACTTCAATCAAGTTGACAGCAATGACCCTGACGCCCGTAGGCTGGGGCAAGGAAACGCGATTGGAAATTGCTGGTATGTTTGGCTATGTTGACTCCGTGCGGTGCACTGATCTGCACAGAAGCTTGCATGTGTGTCCAAACGTACATGTGTAGATTGTGTGCATTGCACCGTCATGTCTACATGTACATTCGGCACATCATCAGCTTCTCTCCACAACATCACTGAGGACAGGACATGTAACCCAGCGCAAGCAGTGGGAATCGGTCCGTCAACGACCGACCCTCGTGTCGCAAGGACCGACCCTCGTGTCAATCAGTGACATCTGAACCAGCCGCTCCGGGGAAGTTGAAGTTGACGAAAAAAATGTAAATGTAACGGCAGATAGGCAGATATCAGGGGTTTGCAACGAACAAGGCGTCTCTACTTTTTGCGCCGACAAAAAGGCACCCGCGTCTTGTTTTGAAGTTCTCACGCCATACGCGCCTGCTGTCTCTGCTGCGCCAGCCAAGGATCACACGGCCGCCCAAACCCCGTGACTCTTCGAGGTCGATATGTCGAACTACCAGGTCAGTGTAGGGAGGAGAATGTTCATAGATTGTTTCCTTTGGGTGAGAGAGAGAGAACCATGGAAAAAGGTGGAGTCAATCTCCGCTGTGCGCGTGTAACGCTTTGGTCGAGACCCGAAGCCAGCAGGCGATACAAGTGGACCTCGCCCCAGAAAAAAGATGGATACCTCGGGGATAGCATGGATCGGAAATTACGAAAATGACGCGGGATGTCGACTAGGGTATAGGAGACCCGATGTTACGCACTGGCGACAGCTTTGTCAGGGCCGGCAAGCTTTTGGCGGCGTTTGTCACTCACCATTGTTTGTTCTTCCCAGCAAGCTCTGCCGCGTGTAACCTCTACGGCAGCACTCTGCGGAATTTCAACTTCCCCCGGGAAAAATTCACTTGTTTTCAAAATGCTGTTGTCATCCGTCCCCATCTCTCTTTGACTCTTTTCGTCGGCAAACAACCACCACCACCCACGCAAAAGACGCCGGAGTCAAAGAAGGAGGAGTTTCGCAAGTACCTCGAGAAGAGCGGCGTTATCGATGCTCTCACGAAGGTGCTCGTGGGGCTCTACGAGGAGCCGGAGAGACCTCCAAACGCTGTCGACTACATCAAGAGGTAACAGCAATGCACACAACAGCAGCAGGATATGGTAGTTTTTTAGTCATGTCATCTTGGACCGGTTTTTCCGGGCTGGATTATATTTGTGACTGCTGCTTCTGTTGCTACAGCAGCCTGGGGTCTTGGGGGAGCAGCCCCAACAGGGTGCAGCAGTACGGCATTGTTTCGGCTCCATGGGAGGAGTGGGGCGCTTTGGTCCCTAGGCACTCGTGATCCGATTCCATGTGTCCCACGCCATATCACAGAACAAATCAATCTCTATCTATGGAAATAAGTCTAAGATAGATTAGCAGTGAATCCATAGCGTGAGCGAAAGGCTACCTGTATGTCTACGGTTTCCCAGACAGCATACAACGATAACTCCCCTGTGGGTAACATATTTTTGAACTGTTTGTAGCGCAACAACCGTCGTATTGTCGGAAGAGAGAGTGGAGGAGTTTTATTTAGTTTGTTGTGCCGTGCCCGGGGTGACGCACCACGAGAGCCGCAGTCTACTGTACCGGGCTGGCAATGCTATCTTGCAAGTTGAGGCTGCGGGAATATCGCTGAGGAACATTTTGGTGTGGCCGTGTTGAACAACTTGTACCTGTGCGTTCCACGGCACAGCACTTTTCCATTCATTACACTCAGTATGTGCCGTGCTCTTTCAGCTATTAGACATGAACGGACGCATGCACAATGGTTGTTGTCCTCTACAAGACAGGTAGACTGCGTTATTTTACCGATATGCTTGGGAGAAGCGACAGCTGCCGTTATTGTGGCACTCGACGCAGAAGCGTGCTGTTTTGGAGAACGACGCATTCACAATGGTTGAAGCAACCGCCCTTAGGACATTGGCCAATATCCTGGTATAGCCTGCTGTTGTTTGCCCAACCGTAGCGAACGAAGGACAAGTCTTGTTCTTCCCAGCAGCCCGACGGAGTACATGCACACACACAAAAATGCTAAACAACGATATGCGTGCATATTCGTACGTATGCATACCAGTAGAAGATTGCTGCTGCTGTGATCATGTTGGAGTGGGTGGTACAACCAAAAATAGAAACGTGCAAGGCACTTTCGGGGACGCCAAGGAAGAACATGATCACAGGAGGGGGTCCAATCCCCCCCTCCTGTGTGACCCCGGTTGGGTCGTCTAGCCAGTACAAGTGGAGGATAGGTGCCAGGGGGGCAGACGACAGAATCCAATGATGTGAGAAAAAAAAAAAAATGTATCCGTTCGGCGGGGGCGCCCACGACGACGGTCCCGCCGTTGTACAAGTAGGCAGACCGATACGAAGAACGGTTCCACAGCCCAACAAGGCCCTAAGATGCAAGTACGGGGGGGTTACCGCCCAACAGCCCAACAGCGGCCCAGGCTTAGCAGTACTCCAGGCGCCACCAACGTTGGTGACACCTTCCCAGCTCAAACCTCAGCTCACCTATCCAACAAGCAATACCGACGTGACAGAATTATCGCATCAGCCCCACGCTTGCACCTACCCCAGCAGCACCCATCTCGAAATTGTTGACCCAACGCTGATCTGCTTGTGTCTAGTGGATATTTGGGGTTGAATGGTGAGCGGTGCAGAATTAGCCATGCCTAACCCGTAAAACTAGAAGACACCAACCGTTTGTAGAGAAATATATGCAGGAACTCGTGCGCATCGATGTCCAACCATCTGGCGGACTAGACGGCGAAGGAATGTGAGAGAGCCGCCCTGACGGACGGCAGTATAGGGCGTGGCTTCGAGTCTGAACACGCGTTCTTGTTGGTTTTTCGTGCTTGCCGTCGTGTTTCGTGCATTTTCGAATTGTTATGCGTCTTGACTATGGCTAATCCTTTTTCTGCGCCCCCCTTGGCGCAAAAAATGGAGTACTGTCGTGATTTGCACGGGGAAAACGCTATGACAAGTTACTGAAAGGTGACAGCGTCGGAACAGGCCTCTTTTCATTTACCCCGCAGTACAAGCTGAATACTGAATACCTCTCTCTCCCCGATCAACAGCAGTCGAATGTATAGCTTGGCCCACTTGTCAGCGCACTCGAGTATCCACAGCAGCAGCTGCCGCTCAACATCAACAGCAGCCGCATGTGAAGCTTGGCCCACTTGTCAGCGCACTCGAATATCCACAGAAGAAGCTGCCGCTCAGCAGCCCGGCGTCTCACCTTGCGGCACTTAATAGCTCTATCCGCAACATCAGCCAAGCGGCACAACTACTCGTGACAGTGCCGAGACCCGGCTCGAAGAAAACCTAGCAGCTCATCTCAGCGTCGGTCCAGTGACCTTCGCAGTCTCATACTAAGTAATCATGTAGGATAAGGTATGCAATGGAGGGAGTTGGGTTATGAGTATAGGCGGGGATCCGGTCCAGTAGCCTCCGCAGGGTTTCATGTGAAGTGATCATGTTGGATAAAATTAAAATGCAATCGGGGATCTTGGGTTAGGGGTAGGGTCAGCGATCTGGCCCAGTACCCTTCGCAGGGGTTAATGATAAGTAAACATGGTTTCATGTTAAGTAAACATGTTGGATAAAGCATGCAATCGGGGAAGTTGTTAGGGTTAGGGTTAAGGTCGGCGAACCCGTCGGTCATGCCTGCGTCGTCGTCGAGCCACGACGACGCAAAATAGAACATAAAAAGACAAACATTTTCCCCCGCGACGGTGTATTGAGGGCAAACAGCAGTTGTTTTCGGAGGCAGATGTAGCTCGCATCAGGCACGGAAACATTCAGAATGTCCTCTGTCTTGTCATTTTTTCTGTCTTCCGCGCGAACCGGCCGCTTCGTATCTACTTATGTAATATTTTCCGTCTTGACGAGACTGCTGCGCAGCATCGCGCGAGGCACTCGCCCAAAGACACTATTTTATGGAATTTTTCCAAAAGTACGTGTCTTCTCGCCTGACGCGTATAGTGTTTTGACATCGCCGCGAAAACCCTGGCGTTGTCCAGACAGGTTGAGGGTTTGGATTGAATAGCAATACACTATTTCAATCCCGACTCTCAGTTTGCGCCGTTCGATGTATTCCCTTTCTAATAAATTCCAGAACCCTAGCGCTAGGGTTCTGGAATCCTTGCTCAGGTTGTAGGAATTTCGAGTCCGGGACAAACTGTGAAGTTCTTGCAGTTGATTTTCGGTTGGGGTCGGGGGTCAAACCCGACGCTACGGGCGATCATGCTAAAGGGATGGTGTCATCGCCTCAAGAAGATATGCAATGCGCAGCGGCGGGTGCTCCTGCGTTGCCCTAAGCGGCTGTCAAAGCCAGAGCTCGTTGTGCGGAGGTGCATTTTTTTGTTTGTTTCCTCCTATGGCGGCTCTAACCCCATCCCCCCCGTTGGCATCCTTTTGTTTCGCTTTGGTGGTTGTAGGTACATGGGCGCTCCGACAGGGGTGGATGCAGAGGCGATGCGGTTACAAAACGAGGAGTTCAAGAGAGAGAATGAAGAGCTCAGATCGAAGTTGCAGAGCCTCACCGAAAAGGTGAAGAAAAGTCACAACAGTCTAGGCAGGTTTTTCTAAGCAAGCACTCATGCTGGAAAGAGTTAAGAACTGGGTAAGTTTGGTTAGGGTTAGGGTTAGGGTCTGCGTGCCCCCAGCCTGGTTGTTTACCGTAATAACCGTACTTCATTCGCGTCCACAGTCCGAACACGATTTTGAATCTACAGCTGTAGTCGAAGCGTTTGCTCGTGCCATGTGCAAGGAGTGATGTCCAGAAAATGATATACGCACATCCACGTGCTGTCTTTCAATACGTAGGATAGCATGTCCTCGCCCGTGACACCTCCCTCACGGCGTCCCCGATCATGGTAGGCTTTCGAAGCATTTTGTGTTTTTCCCGCAATGAGAAATACTGACGTATTTTCATTGGTCAGCCGGTTGGCGCAATCGATTCTAAATGCAAAGTGATCACACGTTCCACATCTGTGGCCTTGACTACTGGTTGAGCACAGTTTTGCCGGCTACGTCCGACCAGACGGTCGGCGCGCCCACACGGTAGGTTGTACAGCTGTAAAAACTTAGCTCGAAGAAACTGACGTGGATATCGCTGCTTGTCAAGAGCGCGCGCGGACAATGGCTGGGTAGGTTGCAACCGACGACACAAACTGACTCTCACGGCCCAGTAAGGTTTCATGGAGTAGTTGGTGGCGGTCTTGCATTTCACCGGTGTTTAGTCGTTCTGCGGAGAACGTGCGTCACCACTTTAGACCCGCTTTGTGTGTTCAGTCATCAAGCGTGTACCCCCCACCCCCCCCCTCCCCTTGTACGCATCCTACAGATGACCGCGGAAGTGGACGCATAACTCGATGCGCAACTGCGAATTTCGAATCCGATGGCGATGGCAAAGCCACTCACCCCGGGGGAACTATTTTTTGCTTCACGGGGGCATCATCGTCGTCACGTCGTCGTACAAGCGGGCTTGCGAGGCCGGGGCGCCGTGGGTTATCCCAGGGGGCTGTGTGTGTGTGGGGGGGTATCCGCTGCGCGCCCGGTAGCGCGAGAGAGCAACGCACGAGCGGCTCGTGGCGGGGGTAGTGATGCTTGTTTCTTTGCCGTGTCTTCTTTGGCGAAGGTTGTCCACAAGCGCGAAGGCGGCATGGTGCCTGGAGATAGAGGAGCGAGGGAAGAGATACGTGGAGGCATGAATCCTCCAGACCACTAGGACACAAGAGTTTGTGGTTTTCCCCTTTGGGATGTGTGCATCGTACAGCGAGGAAAACACGAACACAGGGTAGGCACCCGCCGGCTCTACGACTAGGTGCGCTGTGCTCCTGCGGGGTCGTTGCAGGGAATCGAGCGAGGGGCATTTCGGGGGAGGATGTAAGAATGGGGACTAAGGGGCTGGGGCACAGTAGCTTGTTGCGTCGCCCGCATGCTACGTTTAATTGGTTTTATTTTTAACAGCTGACGTGCAAGCGTGGGAGAAGGAAGGGGTTTGGTCTGCACATAATTGCGCGGCAGGGTTGCCTCCAAACCATCTCCCGCTCGCTGAGTTTCACCCGCGACGATAGATGCCATGTGAAAATTGGGTTTGCGCTTGGTTGCGGCGGGAGACGTCGGGGGGGGGCTGAGGGAACAAACCGGGTAGACAAGTAGAGATGACGATGGTACTCCGGCTGAGGGAACACACCGGGTAGACAAGTAGACATGACGATGGTACTCTTGCTGATGTCCCCCCTCGTTTTGGAGCAAAACCGGCGGCCGCCGGCCGTCACTCGAGGGGCGGTTGAGGCAAGAGTGTGTTGGTGTAAAAAGAGAAGAGAGGAGGGTTGGCCGGCCTCGCTCGGGGGTTCGCAGCGATGGAATGGCGTTTCTGTCGGCCCGGGTGTGTGCCAGCCACACGATACCTTTTTCTTCGGTTCAACAGATGCAAGAAATTATATGAAACGGTACGCGGTAAGCCCATGTACGCCGCGCCAGACGCTCCCTTCACGAAATCATGTGCAGAGGTAACGGGGTGACGGTCCACCTTAGACCCCGATCAACGCGGAATTCTACTGTTGGTGGTCCAATCGCCATGAGCTCACCACCTAAACGTGTCAAAAAAGAGGGTGCTTAGCACGAAAGGAGAACGTGTCGGAAGCATCCCGAGAGCATCGGAAACACCCCCGAACGTGTCGTGAATGCCCCAAATAACGGGCAATAGGAACAGTCACTACATGCAACACAACTCTGCCGGCCTAAAAAAAATAGCTTAGAGTTGCGTTCACCTGGTTGGCTGCTCTCGACATCTCGACGCCATCGGGAAAAGCGAATAAAAGGAGCAACAAACAGCCCGTGCCTCCCTCGCTGCCAGGAAGACAAAGAGGACGCAAGATAATTGGACCCCATCATATACGCTTGCGTGCACTGCATGTACGGGGCTAATACTTGTAGTGTCTGGTGAAAAAAAATCAAATCAGGTTGGTATGTCTTCTGCTCAAGGAACAAAAAAAAAAAAATTCACATGTAACGACAGGGAGAAGAAAAAGAAAGCACCCGCTGCTGTCACGGCTGAGCAATAGACAACAACGTTGCAGGCGAAAGTACTCGACACGACCTGTCTCAGTTGCCCCCAAACCCCCAACTACTAGGTAAGCGAAGGGTAACACAACGGAGAAAAAAAAAAAACTGTGAAGGAGATTTTACCCGCGTTCATGTTACCTGCGCCCCCAGGGCAATAGCTACATCCACCACGGTGTCCACGACGAGAGGCGCCAGTTCAGTCGCGAAGGCTTGTCAGACCAAAACCGCACCAACTCTTTCCTCTGAACCACATGAGCCCCCCCCCACCCACCCAAGGGATCTCCATCCGTCACGCAGCGTGCAGCAGAGATCTCGAGCGCTTCGCGCCCCTTTCAGTCATGCAAGACCCGCCGCAGGTGACATGCCAAAAATACGCGCCGACAGATCCGAAGATACCCCCCCCCATTCACCCCCTACGGTGACAACACTACCACACAGCACAAGGCTACTGTCTAGATAGTCCTCGAACATGAAAATATTCTGGAAAGAAAGTCCCCACGTCTTCGCGAACTCTTGAGGGGAGGAGGTGCGAACAGCCTGGAGAAGCCCGTGAGAGCTAGTCATCTCACGCCCCGACACCCGCGCGCGCTTGCCTCCCCCCTCCCAGAGCCTTCCCTTTGCCAGACTCGATGCACCCAGCCAGACGAGCTACTACGCCCCTCTCGGCACGGACGTACTCGCACGAGAGTTGCACGCGCGGGGGGGGGGGGGGGGG